AAACAGCAATTATGCAGAGTCAGACTTGATTTTAATAATCTTTTCCTGTTAAATAAATAAATCAAATCAAATCAAACAGACTTGAGAGGGCCAGAATTCCTCCACAACCGTGGAAGAGACTGAAGGAAATGAAATATTGATGTTAAAGATGGTTCTACAAGTTGCTGATGAAGTCATCTGACATTTTCACTCTCTGCCTTCAGACTGAGCAGAAAAACTTGAGCTTTTCATAAAACTCAGATTCCAGCTCCGCCACACGTTCTGACAGCGTTACCTTTGAGTTTCAGGAGCTCGTCTCTCAGCTCGGGCCCGGCCAGCTGATGGATGCTGTCAGACACTGGGTTCTTGTCAGTTAGTGACTCGTTGCTGGTGTTTACAACGGCAGTGCAGTTCAGCAGGGAAACATGACCGGTGCTGCAGCAGAGAGAATAACAACAGTTTACAGCTTAAATGAAWGGAAGACACTGAGTACATGAGCATAAAACATTTAAACAACCTTTTTTGTTTGTCTGTTTAAACCTACTACATCCAGGATTATCCAACACATTTTGTTTGTTCAGGTAAGTTTTGCAGAAGCATGTTCCTCCTTGGCCAACAGCTCAATCTTTTCAGCATGAACCCGTGTGTTTGCTTTTACTGTAGATGATAGAATTAATGCTTCACTGGTTTCACTGGCGTTGATGCTAATCCTTGAATTTCACTTGCATTTTCACGATTGCCTCCAAAAGTACACCTATGACTTTTAGCAAGGCCTAGGATCTGTCAGAGCAAAACTTTGTTTTTTTTTATTCTTGATTCATTCAAACTGTTGCTTCTAACCTTGCATTAATGTTTTCATTTAGTCAAACGTTTAAAAAATGTCAGTGATTTTTATTTGGCTTATTTATGTAAAACTGTTTTTTTTTTGTTCAATACCTAAACAATATTTTTTTTATTTCCCACCTGCCTAATTATGTATAGAATCAGATAATCATCTGACAGAGGCAACTCTTTAAACTATAATAATCAAAACATTGTATTAGTATGGTACTAATGGTAGCTTGGGACTGATGTAATAATGCATAACGTTTATTCTCTAGTGCCATTATAAATATAGAATTCATTAGGGCTGCAACTAACGATTATTTTAATAATCGATTAATCTGTTGATTATTTTTTCGATTCATCGATTAATCGGCCAAATAATTAAAATGCTTAGTTACATAAATTAGAGTAGATATGAAT